AGTCTGCTATGGGAGTGGTGGAGAGTTCCCTCAGCCTTGCATAACATATGGCTGGTGCTTCTGGTGGTGTCCTGAGACGCAGGAGGTGTAGGTTCAAACCCCATCAAAGTGCAAAGTGGCCTACAATCCAGGTCTTCTACTTTTTGGGCAAGTGACTTAGCCATTAGGCGATTGGGCAAAAGGTGGGCACCACCCTCATGTCAAACAGTCACAGTGCCTCCTTTCCTGCTCAAGCAGTTGGGGACCTGAACAGAGTTTATTCACTTTTCCAAACAAAGTGGGAGCAGAAGAAAATGTAAGCAGAGTTATTCAACTATGTGGCCATAGTGGAATGCATCTGAGCATGTGCAGTAGGACATCTGGAGAACTGTATAAAGCTTTTGCATCTAAGGCAGAGATGCCTACAGGGCCCACAAATAATCTAGGAGCCTGACAGAATTCTGGCTGCTAAACAGAGTGAAATAAGACCACATTTGGTGATTTACACACTGAAGAACCATCTAAGTGGCATTTAGGTGCCTTGGAGAAAAATAAGATGGGGGATGGCAGGGTTGGACATAATCAAAAGTCTCCAAGAGCCAGGGTTTTACACATAGGTGTGTATTGCCTAAGCCTTAAAGCTTGCCAACCCCTGACGTCATTCTAGAGTAGCCAGGAAAACTATTCCAAAAGTAACATCATGTGTTACTGTGAAATATAATAGTGCTTTTTGTTTCTCTTCAGCTTAGTCCACTGTCAAAGTAGATTAAGATAAACAGAAGCAAGACACTCTTATTCCTGAAGAAAAAAGTCCACACGTGGAATTATTCAGGAAGACTTATTGCACTTTAAATGAGCACTTTACCTTAATCTGAATTAACTTTCAAATGTAAAGGTGCTCTAAATCTGCCATCTATCCACCTTTGAAAATCTTTTGAGATTTATGGATGAGAAGGCATGATTTAAACACAAACTATTTTTATGCACAGAGAAAAATAATGAGGGCATCATACACACTAAAAATTGATTTTTGGTTCACAAATTATGGGTGTTATAAAACACGTTATTTCAGGGGGGGAAATGTGTCCAGATTTGCCAGAGTGTATTTCATTATATGATAAGAAAGCTATAAATATTTCATTTTCTTGTTCTCAGCTCTAAGAGCATAACTGCATAAAATGTCCATGCTGTTCTTGGGTTGTTTCTGATTTGGTTTTAGGAAAATGCAGATCTTTTTCTTCTTGAACTAATGAAATGACTCTTTAAACTCATCCATCACTTTCATTTAAGATGATTTATGATGGCTAAACTAGTTATTATCTCTTCTCCTCCAGAACAAGGCAGCTGCCAAATTTGTTTTGCTGAACAAATTCAGATCTTGCTCTCTGCAGATCAGTCCACAAGGGTGCTGAGTTCCTTCAGCTTCTGCTGATGTCAGTGGGATTTACAGGAGCTCAATAACTTTCAGGACCAAGTCCTATAGATCTGTCTCAGTTTACTGTCCAGAGTGGTTTCCCCAGAGTCCCTCATGTTTTTTCTCTTCTTCTTGCAGCATGCATCAAACAGGTGTGCAGTCTCTCAGACCTCCACGGAGCAAAGCAGTCTTCATCCCCACCATCCCCACGAGGCAGTGCATGATCCACAGCTGATTCCCTGCACCTGCCCTCTGTTTTCTTGCCAATGGGAAGGCCATTTGGAAGTAGTGGTCTCACATCTGAGACAGACTCATAGCATCAACATCCTTCATGGGGCAGAGATTGTTTTCCTGGCTACGGACATGCATCTCCCTGCACCAACAGATTGGATAATCATTCATTCTTGCCTGGGACACCAATTTTTGCTGGTACTCAGGAAGCAGGAGAAATATGAAGGCCACCCTCAGTTCTTTGCCACCATGATGCTGATCGGCACCCCAACTCAAGCGGATAACTTTACCTACAGGCTTGAGCTCAACAGAAACCAGAGGCGTCTGAAATGGGAAGCTACCCCAAGATCAGTACTGGAGTGCATTGACTCTGTCATATCAGACGGTGATTGCCTTGTCCTTAACACCTCACTGGCTCAGCTCTTTTCTGATAATGGAAGCCTGGCTATAGGGATTGCAATAACTTCAAGCAAAGTTCACACTGCTGAGGTGGAAATGTGAAGAGGCAGAAAAAAAATAGCAAAAGAATAATGGTACCCTCCTGCAGATTGTGAGCGCCAGAACTCATGGACTGCTTTTGGGGGTCTCAGGTTTTTTGTGGTATTTAGTATTGTCCACAGTGGGCATTCTGTAAACATCCTGTGATTCCAGTCTCCGTGTGATGTATTCGCTGTTTTTGTTAATACAGTTTTATGATAAATTTTAAAGATCATAATCAAGTTATTGGCTCCATCAAAATAATGCCGCAGAGTCTCTCAAGCAGAGGCTGTCTTTATGGAAAAGGCAGTCCAAGGGACCCAGTGAATCCTTGGTTTGGTTAGACTAGAAAAAAATCATTTATTTTATTGTTTATCTTGTTCCTGGGTACTAAGTAGGCCTCTGTGACTGATAGTAAGGTAAAATAACCTAGCTGAAGCAGAGGCCAACTGTGGTCCTTGTTCATTAGCAACTTCACAGGAATCAGCAGACTGCAATTAATTTGCCTAAAATGAAACAGATTGCAGCTGCTGTCGGCTTTTTACTACTGAGGCACAACCCAAGGAGACAGTAAGTTCCAGCATACAACTCCCCATCTGATCTAAGCAGATGGTCCCTGCAGAACGCTGTATCCTGTGACCCGTCACCTCTGGAAACCACAACCATGAGCAGAAATGAGAATCAGAGACTGAATATTAAACTGCAGATTGTATTTATCCCACAGTTATCATTACTGCTATAATTTTAATCATACAGTCACTATTATTGTTATTTTATTATTTTATAATAGCAATAATAATAATGATAATATTTTAATAATAATGACTATCTAACATTTATGCACTGGTAGAGACTACTGGGCACCACCAAAAATAATACTTTAATAATAATAATAGCTATCTAATATTTATACAGTGGTAGACTGCAGGTCACCACCACACTGAGCTCCACTGCATGAAGTAAAAACTTACAATAAATGACAACCCCTGTCCCAAAAACCTTACAGTGTAAAGCACATCCTGTGGCCATTCATGATTTAAAACCAACACTGATGACCCACTCATCTCTCAACAGCTCCTTCCCCTAGAGAAACACTCACTATCTCTACACGTATTACTGATTCAGGGCCTGGAAAAACTAAGGAGATATCAGCACCTGGCTGGACATTATAATGAACCAAATGCAATATCTTTCTTATCACTGTATAGAGTGACTGGCTTGCCAAATGCAAGTCAGCTTGAGGTATCCAGGATGTATCTTCATGTGCAATTAATGCACCTGAATTTTTCTGTGCAAATTCAAGTTTGTTAAAGCTCTCCCCCAGTTCCTACCCTGTTCCTGCCCTGCTCTGCCACCCTGCAGCCACCAAGGGGAGCTCCAGGCTTCACTGGATGCCAGCCCTGGGCTTAGCCTGGAGCTCTGAGGGGCAGGGAGCTCTGCCCTAGCTGGGGAAGATTGAGCTGGCCCTGAGGGGCAGGGTTGGGAGGGAGCAGTCCCAGCTACCAGCAGCTGCCTACCAACCATGTAGAGATCGGGATGGGTCCCAATCTCCACATGGCTGGCAGGCAATGTCCTCCTAAGCCAGGACAGCTCTCCTTGCTCCCTGTGGCCCCCTGCTGTCTAGGCAATTTGTTCCCGGTCAGCTTCTACACATGCAGTATGGTGCACTAGTTAATGCACTGTTTTTCTAGTACCTCTATCTACAAGTACTAGAAAATGGTGCATTAAACTAATACACTGTGCAGTAATTGTGCACACATAGATGCTTTACTGTGCATTAAATTAATCTAATGCACTCTAAAGGATCTCATGTAGATGTGCCCCCTTAATCTGTAATTAGGGATTTAATTTTTTTAGCATTTATTTTCTCAAAAATTCAGCTGGTAATTTTCAGAAAATAAATATAAAGTCTCAAAAAATGTCCAAGTTTTGTATTCCAGCTTGAGTTTGCTGTTGTATCCTGGACTGCCCCCTCATTTCATACCTTTAAAATGGCAGCTGGAATATCTACTTGCAATAGGTAGGGACAAGCTTGAGGTGGCTGCTGGCTGATTTCATGGGCAGAAGGTGGGTCTGGCAGCCATTTCCCCTAGCAGAGTACAATGCCCTGATGCTTCTGATTGGCCGAATGGTCCCAGTGGCCCCATTTCTCACTGCTGATTGGCTGTGAAGGCTGTCTGTCATATGACCCTGCCCCTCACTGCTGATTGGCTGTGAGGGCTTTTCATCATGCAGCCCCACCCCTCATCACTGATTGGTGGCAAGGGCTAGGGCCATACAATGGACAGTCCCCGTAGCCAATCATTGGTGAGGAGCAGAGGCGGCAGCCATCTTGGGCTGCCCATTGTGTGAGCAGCCCCCCTTCCCCCTGGCAGGCTGTGCAGCCAGGCAGCAGCATGGTGAGGATGGCTGGCTGGGAGCCAGCATTTTATTTTCAGTATTTTTTTATCTTTTTTCCATGGATTTTGCAGATTTTGCAGGCAATGTCAGATTTCACAAAATCTGTGAAATCGCAATTTTGCTCCCTAGCCATAGGGAATCCTAGCTTGAAATTCCTCTCCTTAAAAAAAAAAAAATCAACCTTTAACATTTTTTTCTTCAATCTTGCCTTTTGGGTGTCCCCCTCCCATATATATCCCCCCTTCAAAAGTATGTGTTGGTTCACAGGACATCGAGTGGAGGAGGATCGTAAAAACATGTGGACCTTTTAATAAGGGCTTTTACATCTGGTCAGGCACTTCATGTTGATATTTGACCATAAACAAGTCAGGATCAGTTCTCTGAATCTAAATATTATCGAATTTAGGGTACATTAATCTCCATGTGCTTTGTCTTCACTTGGGTTTTAAATCATGTTAGTTGCCCCTTGTTAGCTAATGCAAATTAGAAACATATCCCTTTTCTTCTTAGTATGAGTAGTGCCTAAAACCTCAAATCCAGATGCCCTTATAGTTTTGATGCAATCTGGATCTGAATATTGTGGCTCAGGCTTGTCGCTATTCAGTAGTTAAAACAAATCAGGGGCAATACCCTGCCTTTCAGTTTTCCCCTTTTCTAAAATGAATTCCAGAAATACAATACAATTTTGCCTCTTTACCTGGAGATTCAGCTCAGTGGGTGGCAGTGAAAATCAAAGAGAAGTCAAAATTTCTGCAACAGGCTCAAACTTGCCATTAATAGGTAGAAAGAAATAAAGTCTGATCTCTAAAAAGGAAGTGTCAATCTCTGTAATGGCATCACGGTCTTGTGCTGTAACCTAGCTAGCTCTCTACAATAAGTGAATTCTGGCTTGTAACGTCTGGTAATAGTGATGCGCCCACATGCAAGGGCTTACAGAGCTGAATTTTCTGGAATAGAAATGGCTGGAATCTTT